AGTACCCACATGGCAGCTAACAACTGTCCGTAACTCCAGTATCAGGGGATCCGACGACCTCTTCTGTCCTCCATGGGCATTGCACAACATGGGTGCACTTACCTACATGCAGGCAATACATGCATACACATGAAATAAAAATAATAAATAAAATATAAAAAAATAAATAAAATAATAAATCACTCTTAAAAATTCATTATGCCTTATAAAGCATATCTTTCTTTCAAAGATCTGTTATCATGGTATCATAGATTTTCACAAAAGAGAGACATTAACCTACATATTTTCATAATAAATTTGCAGTCATATCTACCTTCGGATCCCATGATGAAGTGATGGATATCAGGGCCTGTTGACATACGAGGTCCTTGAGAACTTTTTTCTATTACGCCTTTAGGTGTTACCATTTTCATATGAACCACCTGTTTAATACAATACACAATGTAAATTCTAGGCATCTGTTTACAAATCTGTGTGCATACCTATAAACACATTCAACTATCGTTAAATATGGAGCTAAATAATAAACTATGGTGCACTTCAGAATTTTCATATCTTTAAGCAATTTGTACACTAAATTTCAAAATAAGCATTAATAAAGAAAAATTTATTCTAAAATTTAAATTATATGCCTCTTGACTTAAGTTGGTTTAAGTATACTAATTACTATAAAACAGAAAAATAAATTTCTTTAAAACAAATTTCATCTAGGCCATACAACTCAAAAAATAGCAATAATACCTTAATAGGTTCTCTCTTTCCTTCAATAATGTTTATTTAGCATTATTCACTGTACATCTAATGCCAAAATTCTAAGGGGGAAAATATATTCTTGTCATATTCCGACACTCAACCCCTTTTAGAAGAGAAAGAGTGAAATATTAATTATGATCACACTAACATTTAAGTCAGATGGGGCACTTGCCTATCATGAGCAAAGTTTGGGGTTATAATCCACAAGGAAAAAAATTGGGGTGAAGAAACAGAAGCAGTGACTGACTTAAAAGTAGGAGCAAAAGATCTGACACAATGCATAGAGGAAGAAAAACCTCTACAAAATGGATCCTGATGCCTAAATGAGAAACAGCTGAAAAGTAAACACATGTTGATAGGAGCCACCCCCGCTTCCTATCTAACATATATATAACATATATGTGTGTGTGTGTGCATGTGTGTGTGTGTGTGTGTATGTTGACAAACACAGAATAACCACTTATCACAGAAGGAAAAGAACAGAGAACATCAATAATCTAGTCACCTAGAAAGAAACATTGTCAATGAGGTTATTTCAAGCTTACATTTAATAGCAACTAAAGAAATACAGAGCTAGGCATGACAGCATAATCCTTTAGTCCCAGCTATTTTGGGGGCTGAGACCAAGGTTGAAACAACTGGATGGCTTGAGCCCAGAAGCTAAAGACCAGTATGGGAAAAACAGCAAGAGCCACCCCCGCTTCCTATCTAACATATATATATATATATATATATATATATATATACACACATATATGTGTATGCATGTGTGTGTGTATAAGATTCTAATAGTGCCAGTGGGAATATCACTCAGTACAAGATTTACAGAGCAATTTGGTTGTAAACATCCGAAGACTTTAAAACATTTAACTTCCTAATTCAACAATTCAACTTCTACGTGTTTATCCAGAGAAAACAATCAAAGACGTATGCTCAAGAATAACAAAAATGCTCACTACATATAAATCAGGAATTATGAATAAGAATTATATACACTCTCTGAAAACAAGTTATATTCAATAATCATTCATGTTAATATGTTGATAATGTG